TACTCCCCTCTAGGGTTCTTGTCTGATCTTTCAAGTTGCAGCTCTCAGTTTGATCCCAGAGAGTCAGCACTTGAAAGAGCTGACGTGGGTTTTGGTGAGATTTCTGCCAGTATTTGGTGGAATGACGGTCCTCAGGCTTCCAGGGCTCGACTGTTCCATGGCAGAGGTCATCGAGGCTGTTCGTGTCCAGTGAAGGGCATGTGTGGTGACTTGGATGTGACCTCAGATAGAGTGACCTTGATAGAGAACAGCTCTGCGCAACACCTTGGGTCTTTCCGCATAGGTTTGACGATGCCTCTTCATGCTGGAACACTAGCTCGGAGCACTTCACCCCTTCTGTAGAAGCCTGGTCCTCCTCTCAGCCTGCTTCTGCCTCAGGGGTGGTTTGGGAGAATGTCATGCTTCTTTATAACCGCCCGCCTGGTTCATGGGAGGGGGGAGGTCGAGCAGTGCAGAGGAGAGACCTCTGACAAAGCTCTCAGTTGCAGAAGTCATGGCTCACTAGGAAAGTGTTCCTGAAAACTAGTCAGGAAAACCCAAAATCCCGTTATTGCCTGCCTCGCCCTGATGGGGCAGCTCATGCCGCAGACTGGTGAGGAGGTGGACGCCCCTGAGGTCGGGTCTGGGCGGTGGAGGGCAGGCTGGATGGAATCACACTGAGGGCCTTCGGTCTGCCGTGTGCTTCTCCTGGGGAGCAGGTGGGGGGTTGGAGCTGCCAGTCTTTCTGTTGGCAGCCAAGTGCCTTAACCACCCACTGGACCACCAGGACCCCTGTTCAGACAGTAGTAGAGCACAGTGGCCGGAGAAGGGGTTTTGATGTAGTTCACTTTATTCTCAGCCTTGCTGGCACTGTTGGTTCTAAGGATTTTCACAATCTCTTGAATTGAAATGATAGGACTTCTATGTTTTTTTAGTAATTTTTTTTTTAAATTTTATTTTACTATTTGGTGTGTGTGTATGTACCATCAAATAGGATCTGATTGGTCCAGGAGGAGATCTTCCCTCCTTCTCCAGCAGAGCATCTGGTGGATTTGAACCGCATGCCTCTGGGATTGCAGTGCAATTTCTTGCCACTAGGCCACTAGAGCCCCCTAAAAGTATATGACTTTTATTTTAGAAACAGAACTATAGAATCTTGGCCTGCAAACATATTATTTGTCCATTAATGGAGCGAGCCATAGTCCTGCACTATAGGCAGCTTTTTAGTGTCACTTACACGTGGCTGACTTGTCTTTAGGGAGGTTTCCCTGTAAGATGTACGGCAGAATAGCGGGGGTGAGGATGATATCAGGTCTACGAGTTTTCAGTCTCCTAAGGCTCCGTGTCCTTGAACCTGCTCAGTGTCTGCGGGGCTGGTGCAGTAACCCTGAGAACCCCGGTTCTCAAAGCCTGGGCGCTTGGAAAGCTCCGTGACCTTCCTCCTGGCCGTGGCTGTGGCCAAGCTGAGGTAAACGCTGGGATTTCTGAGGCCGGCACTCTTTATTTAAAGGAGTCTGTGGTGCAGTGCTTGAGTGCTTTCTGCTAACCAAAAGGCTGGCGGTTCGAACCCCCCAGGGACTCATTTCTTGGGGGGAAAGAGCAGGTGAGCTGCTTCTGTAACGATTACAGCCCGGCAGCCCCGGGGGCGGTTCTCTCTCCGTCAGACGGCTCACCGTGAGGCCGCGTCCACTCACTGGGACCATCGCAGGCTGTGCTCCTCACTTCCTCTTAGCCATACGTCCACGGTCGAGGGGTGTCCAGCGACTCATCCAGCATTAATTCTGAAAGATGGCACAGGGCAGAAATAGACGCAGGGATTTCAGAGGAATCATCTGTGTCTAAAGTCGCAGTTTAAAAATGGGTCCTGTAATACGGAGCTCATTTATTACTTCAGATCCATTGCTTCAGTAATGACTCTGAAATAGGACTCTATTATTAGACTGATTGGACTGGAGTCTGATTGCATCGCTATAAAAGAGTGAGATAAAATATTTTGTATAATCAGACTCTACTAGTTTAGAACCTGGGATCTTCTCTACGGGAAACCTCAACTTTGACCCCTTCACGAGCAGCACACTTCTCAGGGTGGGCGTCGAGTTGCAGAGACAGCGTGGCTGGGTTAGGGACTTTGGGGATTAAGTGGCAGTCTCAGCTGTGTTACCTGAGTCAAAGCTTCATTAACTGCTCCATCCGTGGTTTTCCAGTCTCCCCAAGCTGGAGGTGGTGAGATGACCATGCTGATTAGGAAATCATCTCAAACACCCCAGTGAGGAAACACAAGCACCCTGAAAGCTTTCCTCGGGTGTGAGGAAGCCTCAACCTGCTGCTCTGGTGGGTGAGGGAGGACATTGGTGGGAGACAAAAGTGAATCGCATGCCTCTCTTTCATAGGACTGAAAGCGTTCGGAGACATCTTGGTCTCCCTCTGCGTGCGTGTGGTACACACCTACTCCCTGATATGTCCAAGCTGACTGTGGAACAGGGATGCGATGAAAAGATATAGATGAATATGTAATTAAAGATCATATTTTATAAGCATTATTAAGCACCTGTGGACCTACAGGGACTTGAAAATTGATTGGTAAATTCTAACAAGGATCCTGGTGCCACAATGGCTATTACAGACTGCTGTCCGAAAGGTCATTGGTTTGAATTTCTGCAGCAGTCTCTGGGAGGAAGATCAAGTGGTCTGTTTCCATATAGATTATAGCCAGGAAGAGGCTGTAGGCAGTTCTGATGCGGCTTAACAAGAAGATCCAGTCTTTCCTTAGTCCTCACACCGCTGGGTTTAAACATCTCTCTCCCCCCGTACTGGCCATGCTGGGTTGCAAGAGCTGTTTTCTTTCTCTTTGTCTTGTTGTGTACCGTTGAGTCGGATCCGACTGGCACAGGAGGAGACTGACCTCCATTCTCCAGAGGAGCATCTGGTGGATTTGAAACGCTTGCCTTTGGGATTGCAGCACAGTTTCTTGCCACTAGGCCACCAGAGCTCCCTTAAAAGCTATTTTTTAGTAGGCATTTTTGTGTTTGAGATGTCCAGTCAGCATTATGTGCTGATATTTAGTTGAAAGAGCCTTGTAAGCACAATGATGTGTGATCTAGAATAATGATTTGACTTTGAACTTGCATAGAGTTCGTAGGAAAAGATGGATCTTGTGCAGAAATTGAAATGGTTGGAGCTGATGCGTTGTGTTACTGGCCTCTCTCAGATGAGATGTGAATGAACCCCTGCCAGTTGTCCCTCCTTAGCGACGGTTTAGTTTTCTGTGATTGATTTATTCTGTGGTCGATGGGGGTTTCCATTTGCAATGGAAAATTCCGTAATAAACAGTGTGTACGTTAAGCGGTATGCCGTTCAGAGCTGTTTCTCACTGCCTCACACCGTCTTGCCCGGGCTCTGACTCGTTCCTTGTGCAGCCTGTCCACGTTGAACTCCCCACCTCCAGATCTCCCACAGCCACTGTCTCGGTCATCAGATCACTGTATGGCATTGCAGTTCAAGGAATCTTTGTTGGATGTAATGATTGCTGTTTCTTTATTGTTGCTGTTGATTGCCGTCGAGTTGAGCACGACTCCTAGTGACCCTATGAACAAAAAGACCTGAAGCCTTTCTATAGCTGTCATCATTTCTCAAAGTTCATAGAGTTTCCAGAGGCATGTGGTTTAGAAAGTGAATGTCACTCCTGCTTCCAAACCTGTCTTACACTGGGAGCTCCACCAAACACTGTCCACCATGGATAACCATTATGGCATTTGACACCCCAATGGCACAAGGTCCAGCATCACAGCAACCCCAGGTTACCTCAGTACAGCATACTGACAGAAGAGTGCTGTGCCACTTAGAAGAAATGTTCCTCCAAAATATAGTAACAACTGACTTTTAAATACAAAGGCCCTCCACTGAGGGCTTGTTGACTCTAAACAAGAGGCTTAAATAAAAAAACCCAAATATATTATCTCTATAGTTATGTACCGTTGAGTTGCCTGTGACCCGTAGTGACCCTACGTATAGTAGCTCTGAGCCCTCCCCTGTCCTGAGCCCGTCTCGGTAATTCTGACATACCAACCGCCATTGCCCCAGTTACTGTATCAATTATTAGTTATGATTATTCTCTTACTGTGCCTACTTTGTAAGTGAAACTTTATTATAGGGTGTAATAATGTTATATATTGTTGTTGTTGTTAGGTGCTGTCGAGTTGGGTATGACTCAGAGCAACCCTATGAACATTTCTGAACCCTGTCCTATCCTGTACCATCCTTCCAGTCTCTTGACACACTTGAGCCCATTGCTGCAGCCACTGTGTCATTCCACCTGGCTGAGGGCCTAGCTTCCCTTCGCCATCCCTCCACCTTCCCAAGCATCTCCCAGGTCTTTCCCACTCCAGTGAATAGCATCTTCAACAGCATGCCCACAGTGTGTGAGGTGAAGCTTTATCATCCTTGCTTCCAGGGAACACTCTGGCTGCACCTTCTCCAGGACATATCTGTGTGTATTATTTTGGCCGTCCATGGAATATTCAGCGCTCTTCTCCAACCCACAATTCAAAATCAATTCTTCTTCTGTCATCCTAATTCACTGTCCAGCTCTCAGATGTATGTGATTGAAAAGACCATGTCCTGAATCGTGTGTATCTTAGTCCTCAAACTTACATCATTGTTCCTAAATAATTTGGAGGGATTTATCTAGGGTTTGTAAATTAAACTTTATTACAGCATATAATGATAGTATATAGGGATATTATTATATTATGCTATAAAGGGTTTTCAGGCATCCAGTGGGGGTCGTCTAAAGTATCCCTCATGGAAAAGGGACGGGAGGCTACCGTTTTCTGGTAGCAATCTTGATTAATATTAATGGAGATATATATACACATGGCTCTTGAATTATGCTTGGTTTCTGTTTCAGTTCTCAGTGAATGAAGACGTAGGCTGGTAACTTGGCAGGTGGAGGGTGGACTGGTCACCGTTACCTTCTGCAGTTCACAGCATTTCATTGTCTCTCTCCTCTCCGCTGGCTACAGGGTGTGGATGAATGGAACATCTCTCGCTTGAACACTGTCTTGGATGTCGTCGGGGAAGAGTGTGGCATTTCCATCGAAGGCGTCAACACCCCTTACCTCTACTTCGGCATGTGGAAGACCACCTTCGCCTGGCACACGGAGGACATGGACCTCTACAGCATCAACTACCTGCACTTCGGGGAGCCCAAGTCCTGGCAAGTGCACGCTTCGTGGGCGTTTGCTTTGTAGCCTTTTCACCAGGGTGATAGGAACGTCCTGCAGAGGACTTGTACTTGGGGTGGGTTCGCATTTCTTTGAGCTCTGAGGTTTTACTAGAACGAAGACTTGCCTTCCACTCTGCCCAGGGTTTGGCAGAGAAGCTGTCGACTTGGGCTGTGGGCTGGAGGTCGAGAGGCGGAGGACTTGCTTCTCTTCACATCCGTGACAGGGTTTCCCGGGCGCTCGTTAGGACACTGGGAGTGAGAAGTTGACATCCAGGCTGTAGAGTTAGATGTCCTCCTAGTGATCTTCCCGTTTGTCCTCCTGGACAAGGTCCTTTCAGAGGATGGGGGCATGCGGACACTGTTGTTACTCTTTGGGTGATGAACACCCAAAGAGAAACCATGGGTGTTGATACTTTGTCTTAACCTGCAGGGTTCTCTCTGCATCTCCCACCCCTGTCTTTCTGAGCAGGGATTCAAAGACGTGCCTCAGTGAAATAGCCCAGAGCTGGGCCGTGTCCCCTCCCGTGAAGATGTGTAGCCTCTCACGCTTTGTTGCTAGCGTGTCAGTCGCTCTTTTGACCTCTGTGGTCAGCCGCTTTCATGTCTGAGCTGCTGCTTGTGATCTGTAGTCCTGAGAGGTCAGTATTGGTCCTGTGTTCTGTGGTGCCGTGTGGTACACAACCAGCAGTGTAAACCCGCTGCCATCAGCTCCGGAGGCTTGCTGGATGTGACTGAGGCCGCTGAAAGCTTTGATGGCAGTTTTCATGTTAGATGCGTGTAGGTGGAATGCTTGCTTTCTTATTAAGATGATTATTCTGCGCTGGGAAGATGATACTGTTAATAAGATCACTTACCCAAACCAAACCAAGCCCACCACTGTCGACTTGGTTCAGCCTCATGGTGGCTCTCTGACGCTGTAATCCTTGATTGGAGGAGACCATGGAGGAAACCGCCTGTCTTTCTCCCAAGCAGTGGCCGGTGGGCTCCCAACAGCTAACACACTGTACCACCATGGCTTCTGAAGATCACTTTGTGCTTGTTATGTGCCATGGAGAGTGAGAACTGACTCACTGCTGGGCCGCCAGTGGATTTTCAGAGGCAGTGAATTGCAGGAGAGGAGATTACCATCTTTCTCCCATGGAGCAGCTGCCGAATTCAGACTACATGCTTCCCTTTAGCAGTGCGACTCCGTAGGTCACCAGAGCTCCCTAAAAATCTCACTGGAGAGCACATTCAGGACGAGGTGAGACTAATGCAGGGGTCTGTGCCTGGCAGGCGCCCCACTGTTAGGGAGTGGGGTCTGTAGGCTCTGGTACAGAGCAGCCCTTTCTCTCAGCATGTGTGTTTTCATTGGTTAATTACTCTATTAGTCGCTAAGCCTATAGACACCATTATTTGCATTAAGGGCAGATTTCTATCATAGCTGTTATCTTTAACCTTCACTGTTATTTATAATGATAAGATAATAGCACACAGCAGTGAGCCATGACAGCTAATCTCAGTTCCATCTCGAGGGGAGGGACTGGAGGCCGTGAGGCCGCTTCCCAGCAGTCACATGAAAGATGATATTGCCTCTGCATAAATAATTTGGAAGCCAACCCTATTATCATTAAAATTCACTTCAGTAATCATAATCTATCCGCACTGAGTTGTGAAAGGCAGTAGAAGCTGTGGAAAGTAAACACCGTGAGGTCGGGGGGTTTTCACGGGGCCTCAGCTCAGGGACTTAGCACCCTCTCCTTACTCTAAAGTGTGGGACTTCCAGTTTCCTCCCTGACAAACGACAAGTTTAACCAGGATTCGTGAGAGCACAGCTCTCCGTTAGATGGACTGACAGAGTGACTGCCACAGGGGGCTTGACCATGACAGCATTCATCGGGAGGTCCAGGACAGGTCAAGGGTCAGGTCTGTTACAGGATCACCAGGAGTTGCAGTTGAGTCGGTGGCATCGAACAACAACAGCCAACCAGGATGGACGTCAGTGCTTTCTCTCTATGTATCTGCGTGTACGTGCACATATACAGGTGGTAGGTGTGTGCACATGTGTGGCTTTATTTTCGGCTTGTCTTCACCCATTGAACCCCTTCTGCCCTCTGGGGTGGTGGTCCTTTCTCAATGGTCCCCTCTCCTGCATGGCTCTCTCTGTCCCTGGCAGCTTCTTCTGGACGTAGACTCTAGGACTTAACCATGAGTCTCCTTTAATTCCACCTCAGACATGGAATTCTAGGTATGAGTGTCACAGAGATTGCCCAAGAGAACCCCTGTTCACTCCCAAGTCTGAGACTGTGCCTCTCTGTTCACATAACACTCAGATCTTGCCTGTAGATTTGCCAGACCTTGTACAATCTTTTTTCCTTGGATGGATGGATGGATGGACGGATGGACAGATGGACGGATGGTTAGATAGATAGTTGTTCTGGCCTTGACTGACTTGGTGTGACCTTACGTACAATAGAACGAAGTGCTGTCCAGACATGAATTGGCTCACACCTGCCAGCCAGGTGTTGACATTGCTGTGCTGGTCCATGTCACGTTGTGTCTGCCCCTCCTGGCTCTCTGAGTCATGCAGCAGATGACCTCTAGTGACTGACCTCTCCTGACGATGTGTCCCTAGCAGATGAGTCCCGCGGTTTTCTGTGGGAACCGTTGGGTTTTTAGTGACTGATTTCTAGAGGTCTAACCTCACGCTTCTCTTCCTAGTCTGTCTGAGGGAGGAAGCTCTGCTGAATCGTGTTCTGCGCTGGTGCCCCTCCTGACTGGTGTTTGATACTACTGACAGCTTCCACTGAACATCAACACACTGGCCACTCCAGTACCAGGAACTAACAGTGGGCTCTGGACTTCTCTCTTCAGTGTCCCTGCTGCCCCAGCTTGTCTGTCCCTCAGAGTCAGAGTTCATGGCTCTGTCTCGAGTCATTAGGGCCCAACCATCACATCGATCTTCCATTAATAATTCTAGTGTTGAATGAGAGCAGTAGTAGGTCTTGGCTCAGTCTGTTGAAGAACAGTCAAGGAACTACACGCAACAGTTTCTCACGATGCTGTGTAAAAGGTAGCCGGGTGGAATGCCGAGTCTTGTGAGGTTTCTGTGTGACCATGGACACGCATGTCCAGGCTGAGCCCCGAGACATCCGTTTGGTCCAATGGATCCACACACACTCAGGCTTAGTAGTGAAAGGCATGGTTTACCATGGACACAGGCTGTACCTTTGGAGGAGTTAATGATTTGGTAAAAACATTCTGGCGTGAGGTTGAAGGGGAAAAGAATCCTTAGAGAAAGCAGACGGAAAGCTGCAGCCAGTGGGAGCGAATTTATTGTCCTGAAGTGCATATTGACTTTGGAGCCAGCAGACCTATTTGTAAACCCTGGATCTGTCACGTAGCCCCTGAATGACTTGGGGTCCCCCTCCTCCTCTCAGCACTTTTTTCTCACTGCCAGGTGGAGCCGTGAGTGATCCTGTCTGTGCTGAGGGCTGCGCTGAGGGCTGCCCGGAGGACCCCTTAGGTACAGTATGTGAAAGTGCTTTCCAAGTTGGCGTGACCTGTACAAACGCAGTTACCCTGATTTTAGTTATTTTATGAAAGTAAGTTAGTTTGATCCCTTACAGTTACTTAGTCTCTGATATATGCCTCGTCCCCAAACGTAGGCCCACCGAGTTGATTCTGCCTTATCGTTAGCCTGTTAGGGTACAGCTGCCCATTGGGTTTCCGAGGAAGTAATCTTGCCTCCCCAGATAGTTATTAAGTTATTAAATATTTTATTAATGATCACTGTGTTCCCAATACTCCCACCATTAAAAAGAAACACATATAAACAATTTGATTACTTTCAGTTTGTAAAATCAATACTTTTCATATGGGGGAGCAGGTGAGACAAATCAAACAATTGTGTAGGCTTAAAAAGAACTACAGCTGAATTCTAAGTTTTCCTTGGAAGAGGAAAATATTTTCAGATAATGCTGGCATAATTTTAAAAAGGAAAGTGAAGGAAGAAACAGTAGCTGCCCAAACCTGATACATCCAGTGCTGTCAGTGGAGGGATTACCTTATCTTTCTCCTGCATAGCAGCTTTTGGATTCGAACCACAGACCTTTTAACGCAGTCCAATGCTTAATCAGCTGTGCCATCTACACAAGGATCAATAAAATGGAGTCTTCTTCCAAGCAATTCTCAGAAAAGTTTTGTACCATAGAGAAAACCTGTTGCCTATTGGTAGATTTTCTGGGAAGATTAAACCTCATCACAAATAATTTTTTTGAAAAATTATTCTGTATATTTTGTTAGTTAATTGTGTTAGAACTTGGCGAGCCAATTGTGGCAGCCTTTAAGCTATTTAAAAAAAAAGTTGAAATACAACTTTATTCTTGTTCTGAACGAAAAGGAATGAGAATGACAGTAACCAAGAAGGTTTCACCATGGAGTATTGTGAGGTGACTGTGGCAGTTTTTTGTATTTGAAACTCAACGAGGAAGCCTCTGCCTTCCTAAACAGCTACATATGCACATCCAAAATAATGTTGGGTTTTTTAAATTGCCACAGTCACTCTAGAGCCCATTTGTCTCCTTCAGTGTCCCACAGACTAGCACGTGCTCAGCTCAGCCAGATAATAAAGTGGACAGCACGTGACACTGCTGCCATCCCAGGACAGTTGCCTATACAAGTAGGCTTCTGATGCTGGACTCCAGCTTATTCTCTCACAGGACACCATCCTAGGCTTCTGATGCTGGACTCCAGCTTCCTTCTCTCACAGGACACTGTCCTAGGTGTCTGATGCTGGACTCCAGCTTCATTCTCTCACAGGACGTCATCCTAGGTGTCTGATGCTGGATTCCAATTCATTCTCTTACAGGGCACCGTCTTAGGCTTCTGAC